GATTATTTATTGATAGAGAATAACTTAATTACTAAAATAAAGGAGTTTTTTTTTACTAACTTTATTTTGAAATTTGAGAATAATGTCACATTGAAATGGAAATAGTAATAGCTTAAGTTGCATGTTTTAAATGCTTATCATCAATATGTTACTTATCTGGATATAATTTATAATTATTTTTGGCTCAAGATCTTTTCATGTTTTTCTAAAAGTTGGTGTGTATTTAACTTTTGCATGGAATTAATGTACTCATTAAAGAATCCTTATTGTAGCAGTAAAAACCATACTAGTGTAACAATGCCTTGGGGGTGGGGTGTCTTCTTAGGAAAGGGTGTTTTAAATCATAGGACTGAGAGAGCTTTTTAAAATGTACACATTTTAGAAACTTAAAGATATTGGACAAAAATTATTAGGTTAGCATCAGAACAGACAGTGAACATATTAAAACTAATAGTGTAGTATCTTTCACCTTTGCTTTCATTTCTAGTTGAAGTAATAAATTTGCATTTATATTCCATGTACTGTTTTCTCCAGTAGTTTTGGCTGTGCATTTCTTTCATCTATCAAATGCTAATTGAACTCTTGCTCTTGTAGGTTTGCACTAGGTGCTAGATTCATGACAATAGGCTGGTTTAAATTTGGGTTGTAGTGTGTGCCCAGATTTGCTTCTAAAATTTGGAGGATTTGGGACAAAAGTACAGAGAGGCCTGTGTATAAACATTTAAAAGTTATAAATCAAATTAGTAAATTGCTTTAAAAAAAAAATAGGTCCTCTTCTCCTTCCTGGAGAAATAGTTCAGTGATCTTGAAGACCAAGTGTGGGTTTAGACTGCTCAGGCTCCACTTCCTCATTGAGATGTGCTGGTGTATATGGGAGAGCTAGCCTATGGGTCAGACCAATGCCCTTCTCCTCTCATACCTGCCTCTGTCCAAAACCAGACAGGGGCTTAATTGTGGACACTCTGGCACTCTGTCTACACCCCTACCAACTGCAGCCTCTAGGCCATTGCTTAGGCTTAGGAGGTTCCCACTTGCAGGTTCCAGCACAGTGATGGGGAACAATTTATAGAAGGGCCCTGTTAGGCTCTAGAAGCCAGCTTGGGGCTGTTTGGGCACAGATTTCTGGGCCCTGGTACTCAGAAAGACAGGGCAGGCTCTGTGTGGGCAAGTAGTTTGCCCTGTGGATTTATTCTTTGTAAAGTGGTGTAGCCAGAGGAAGAATGGAGAGATGCTTCTAGAGTCCAGGGCTCAGGGCCAGGTACCTCTTGCCCAGGTCCTCAGGGTGGTACTATGTATGCCCTTTAATCAAATAAAGCTAAGTATTCTTAGGATCAGATCTCAACTCAGAAAGACAGGGCAGGCTCTGTGTGGGCAAGTAGTTTGCCCTGTGGATTTATTCTTTGGAAAGTGGTGTAGCCAGAGGAAGAATGGAGAGATGCTTTTAGAGTCCAGGGCTCAGGGCCAGGTACCTCTTGCCCAGGTCCTCAGGGTGGTACTATGTATGCCCTTTAATCAAATAAAGCTAAGTATTCTTAAGAGGATCAGATCTCCACATAATCTCTAGACTTCCAAGCTATAATCAAGGGCCCAAAATTTAAAAAATAAATTGATTTGTCAGTGAACAATTGCTGGATGCTTAATTGTTCATCCACTTTGAAAACAGGCAATAGAGCTTTCAATTTTGTCAGTTTTTTATTTTAGAACTTAAATTTTTTAAAAATAATAAAATAGTGGTATTGAATTTGGATTTATGACTGCTTCATAGAATTTCTAATTATGCATTCTTTGTTTTAAATATTTCCACACTTATTTAAAATAACAATTAGCTCTTTTATGAAAAAAAATAAATTAAAAGGTATTCTTAAGGCTTGTTCTAGCCTTGGTTCAATTTCCGAGTGTATTCAATGGAGAGGAGAAATAAGCTGTGAATTGATGACTTAAGTAAATGAGTCTGCATCTCAGTGTCCTGAGATTATTAAATCTAGACATGGGAATATACTTTTATGTCACGAAAATTTATCCCATACAACTTTTCGTAAAATACTATCTTTCTGATTGGTCTTATGTTAATATACATTTGTAGTTTTTACACTAATTTAAAAAAAGAAAGAACCCAATTCAGTGTAAAAGGGAATACTTGATTATTCTATTGTATAAGAGCAGTAAAAGCTAATTTACTGTTATATTACTCCATATTGAAGGCTGGAAGAGGCCATCTTTTAGTTCATTCTTCATTAATTTTGCTATATTGTAGTGATATTAATATCTATTATGGATGAGTTTTATGGAAGGCTTTTAAGTTGACATCTCTGAGCTTGTGTTTTGGCTCACGTAAATATCTTTGACATATTTTCTGCATGATTATTGAAGGGTGAATGAAGTGTTGAAGGCAAAATGGATTAATCAGTCTTTGTGATTCCTCTATGAAAACTCCTGTGATAAATGTCTTTGAAATGGTCTTAGTTCCTAACAATTGATAACTGTTGAAAATAGATAATTGTACTTTAAAAAAACCTTTTACTTGCTGATCTTCATAAAGACTAGTTCTTCTAAATTTGCCTTTTATGCTAGATTACTGGAGTTTTATTATTGAATTAATTTTGGAGGCATTCCACTGTTTATAATTCTTTTCTTTAATCTAGTTAACAGCCAAATAATTAGAAATTAGTTTTGACCTTTGTAAAATTTAGGTAAAAGTTATATGTGATTTCTTAAAGATGATAATTCTCTAATAGAGCCATTTAAACAATTTATGTGGTTCATGTTGCACAAGATGACAAGAGCATGGTACAGAAACACATTTACTTATGTACATTTGAATTGAGTTCTATCTTGCAACATGTAGATAGATATAATGTATTAAATTAAATATTATGATGGTACTTGACAAAATAAATTCTCCCCACATTGCAATCTTTATTTTTTCAGTGATAATAACACTGATTTGTTCTGGGGCAGTATTAGGTTGGTAGGGCTGCCATAACAAAGTACCACAGACTAGTTGACTTTAAAAAACAGAAATTTGTTTTCTCACAGTTCTAGAGGCTGGAAGTCCAAGATCAAGGTGTTGGCCGGGTTGGTTTCTTTTGAGAACCTTTTTCCTTGGCTTGTAGATGGCCATCTTTTCCTTGTGTCTTTACATGGTATTTTCTATGTGTCTGTGTCTTAATCTTCTTCTCTTCTTATGACACCAGTCACATAGGATTAGGCCCCACCTTCATGACCTCATTTTACTTTAATTACCTTTTTAAAGACCCTGTCTCCAACACAGACACATTCTGAGGTAATGGGGGTTAGGACTTCAATGTATGGCACAGTTCAGTTCATAACAAGGGCATAGAGTGAATTCTGTGCAAACTGAAATTTTGAGTAACCAACACATTTAAGATATTGAACAGTTTATTCAATTGTTTTAATTGTATACTTTTAAAAATTAGGTGTTAGAAATACCTTTTTTATTTTTCCTTTACCTGGTTTAAGTATAGAGATTGGAAAAGGGCAATTAAAAACTGATGGATTATGATGATAGTAATAATAATGATAGCAGCTAATATTTATCAAGTGCTATATTATATCCTGGGCTTCCTTATGAGGACTTGATGTTTTTTAACTCGGAGGTGTTAGCATAGCCGGCAGGGAGTTAGGGCATTTCTGTTTAAGGGTAGGTTGGATTTTCTTTGCTCGGCCCTGGGAGTTCATATGTATCCTGGCTTAGTACTATGGGCAGGGCTCCAGGTTACTGCCTTTGTGAAGCAAGAAGGAAATCTTTGCAAACCACTGGTTTTCATGGGATAACTTTGAGCTTTCCTATAGGTGCAAGCTTTTTAGTTAAACATGGAAAAGTTGAATTATCCAGGAAGTGTTCTATGGTGACAGACCAGCTTTAAAAGTTCCCCAAATGAAAGAAGTTGTATAAAGAATATTTTACCCTGTATTCCTATTAGGCTCATAGCTTCAAACATGCCTCATTGTAGGTGCCCAGTAAATAATTGTAGAATGGACGAGTAAATATCAGTTAAAGTAAGAGGGATAAACACAGTCACTGCTGTGGTGCTGTTTTTAAAGCTTATGTTTGCATTGTGAAAGGAGTTGTATTGTCTGCTCTAGCAGGTTTTATTTATTTATTTATTTATTTTGGTCAGAAATATAGTATACACTGAATATGAACTTAATCATAGGCAGATAAAAGAAACAGCCATCTGGACCCCTTATACTTTAGTCCTCTTATATCACATGTATGAGGTTTGGAAACAATAAAGCAGTTAGTTGTTCAGCCTGGATGTACAGAAACTGTCCTGTAAGATTTCATAGTGAGAACAGGTTATTTTCCAGGGAGTCTACTTTGCCTACCATCAGTAGGTGGAATTGGTAGCTGTGTACGTTTTCACCTTGACCATTTTAGAAGTCTGCCTGATGGGGCTATGTTTGGACCTTTGAGTCTTATTAAAAATGTTTCTTGTAGTCAAATTACAAATGTCTTTAGATAAAATGTCCAGGATATTTGAGAAGTAGTAGGAAAAATCAGGGAATCAAGAATCAGTATCTTCAATTCTCTTTTGGAAAAACTTTACATAAATGTGTACATATTTGTTTGATTTTGTCGTTGTTGTTGTTTGATTACTGTCACTTGCTGCCTCCCAAAAATTGAATAATGAACAGCCTTTCGAAACAAATACTTACATTTGGCAGAATTCTACTGTTAGTGCTGTAATTACCTTATTGCTCGGCTGCTAGTTTTTCCAGTATAGTTTATACTTGTGATTTTATTTATCTGAATTTGTACAGGTTTCCAAGTGTTTTCATTGTTTCAGTGTTAGTGGGTTTTTAACTCTCATGTCAACTTAAGTGGATTATCATTAATTGAAAACACTTGTTCGATTTTTAAATATGTCTTTATATGAATAAAAATCTTAAGGGCATTCAAAGGTAATGCAATGGAATGTGACTGGGTTTTAATCAGTTGTATGAATCAGACCTTTGTGGTGTATTTGTGTCTTTAGGTTGGTTGAAGACTTTCAATGACTACTTTAGAGACCAGACTCAGTATATTTTTAATAACATGGTCCTAAAACTGAAAGAAGACTCAAGGAGGAAATTTATTTGGTCTGAAATCTCTTACCTTTCAAAATGGTGGGATATTATAGATATTCAGAAGAAGAATGCTGTTAAAAGGTTTGTTTTAAAACTTTTTTGAAATTTAGTAATATTAAAGGTTAATTGTAACAGTGAAACAAATATTGAATTTTTAGAAGGTGAAAATTCTTAGCTTTATATGTGAAACTGAAAATGTTTCTTCACATCCTTTTTTCATTGATTTTGGTTCATCTCTGAAAAAGTGATGTGAAACTTTGCCATTGAAAATTTTATGTTTTAACTACTAAGTCAAAGGGGCTTAATATTTTAAAGGTTTTTGATTAGCATACCAGAGTACTACAAAAAATTTGTGGAAAATAGAATTGAAAGATAATACTGATCTGTGAACTTTTTGAAGTACCCTTGTATAATCAAAGTGACCCTTGGAAAGGTTTCAGTGTATTATTCAATTTTCCATGTAGAAATGTACCAATTTATCTTCCTGGTAGCCACCATTATAATTTTTGAAAACCTTGACCAATCTGATGATTGAAAAATATCATTTTAATTTGCATTTTTTATTGATAACAGTGTTACATACTTTCTCATAAAACAGGCTGAATTTTTTGTGACTTGCTTGATTGTACTTTTTTCCCCTGATTTGTAGGAAAATATATATAGTGTATTTATTCCTCAACCCTTATTTTTCCTCAGATTTTTATTTTCTTAATTCTTAGTGCTTGATATACAGAGCTTTAAAAATCTTTATGTCGTCAAATCTATTAATCTGTTTTCTTTCGGTATTGCTTTTGCTTTCATATTTAAAAAAGGTTTTCTACAGTCCGGAGGTCAGATAAATAGTCCTTTTTTCTTATTTTGATTTCTTACCATTTTTTTTTTAATTAATCTGTTTTCTTTCGGTATTGCTTTTGCTTTCATATTTAAAAAAGGTTTTCTACAGTCTGGAGGTCAGATAAATAGTCCTTTTTTCTTATTTTGATTTCTTACCATTTTTTTTTTTAAATCCTGAAGTTTATTTATTTTTAAATATGGTATGATGGAAGATTCTCTGATCTCCATGTGCCCTTGCTCTCAGGAGTTATGAATTGTTATTTAACGTCACTTAGATAGCTCTTACAGTCCCTGTTATAAGTACTTTACAAATTGCAACTGATAATTTTCTCCACAATTCTGTGAACTAGGTACAGTTATTATCCTCATTTTGCAGGTCTGGACTCTGCCTTGTCCAGGGTCACTCTGACTAGAACATGGCAGTGCTGGGATTCTGTCCAGTCTAAGCTGTCCAGCTCCAGAGGCTGTGTGCTTTGCACTCTGTGCTGGGCTGCCTTTCTAAGATTTAAATAGTCCATCCTTTTCTACTGACTTGAAGTGCCATTTTTTATTATATTTAAATTGTATTTTTATTTAAATAAATTATATTGTATTGTCTTTATTGCATTGATTTCTGGGCTTTCTGACCTGTTTAATGGACTTTTCTGTTGGTCCATAATTGTTATGGCTTTATGATATGTTTTATTAACTGACAGTTTAAATCTACCCTTTTCTTTCTTTATTGAAAAATTTTTAATATTCCCAAAGAGCTTTAGAATTAACTTGTTAAATTATTCCTACCCCATCAAAAAAGAAAATCTTTTTGGATTTTGATGGAAATCGACACAAACATTTAAAGGTAATTCAGTGAGAATTGATTTTCCATCATATCCACTGGAGCAACTTTTTTTTTCTTCTCTGATAGCAGCTTAAAATGCTTGGAAGGTGGTTAGGAAAGTACGACAATAAAGGATATAGGCACTGGGGTTACTGGGATGAACTGATTAACTACCATAACCAACTGGACTAGCCATGCTTCTGCTCCAGCCACGTGTAGCCACAGGGAGCAGGGTTGTCAATATATCCCTCCAAGTACCCAGGAGAAGCTGGAATACCTTGGCTTTTTAAATTGAAATTTAGCAGCTAATTTATATTAACATCCACAGGGACACACACACACACACACACACACACACATGCATGTGCGCACGCACGCACGCGCGTGGGGACACACACACACCACCAAACATTTCTGAATACAGGGACACACACACACACACACATGCATGTGCGCACGCACGCACGCGCGTGGGGACACACACACACCACCAAACATTTCTGAATACAGGGACACACACACACATACACACACACCACCAAACATTTCTGAATACAGGGACACACACACACACACACACACACACACACACACACACACACACACACACCACCAAACGTTTCTGAATCTTTAGTTTAGATCTAGCTACCTACTAGTTTTGCAACCTTTTAAAAATTAGGAACTGTCTTGTAAAACCACATGGAACCAGTGTTTGTCTTATAGATAATTCTTTGGCTAAGTTTTAAGACTAAAAAAATTTTTTGTGTGTGCTTAGGTCTTATGTTGTTCCTTGAGTACAAATAATATTTAATATTTTCTTTAAAAATATAATTTCATAGAGATTTTACTCAGATTGTTCAGATTTTAAGAATTTATCGCATTCTATAGTTATTTTTGCTTTTTTTATTACTTCTTTTGGGAATCTGAATATTATTATTTTTTCTCATCTTGATTAGACTGGCTAAAGCTTTTACTTATTTTTGTTGGTTTTTATCAATGTTGCACTCCCCAGAACTTATTTATATTTTACCAGTTTTTATCCTTGACCTTTCTGCTTTCACCTTTCTAATTCCCTCTGCCTCCTTTCACTGATGCTAAATGGGCCAGTCCATTTATTTTAATAAGGAACATGTCTCCATTTGTGTGTTTGCTTTTATCACTGTTCTAACTAGCTTTTAAATTTTTTGTCATTTTCTCATTATTGTCTTTTCTCTCTGAATATTTATATGTACTTATTGTTTTCTCTTTGACTTGAGTATGTTAGGAAAATGATTTTCAATTTGCAAGTGTTATCTTCTTCCAGGTATACTTTATTAAAAACTAGCTTTAATGTCTTATGGCTAGAGAGTATGGTCTGAACACTTTTTATTCTTTAGAATTTTTTGAGTTTTTCTTTGTGACTCAATATGTGATTAGTGTTGATGATTGTTCTACTGGTACTTGAAAAGGAGGTGTTTGTATAATATGGAGTGTGATGTGTGTCCACTAATTCAGTATTTTACAATTACTATTTTCATCTGTGTACAGTCAATTCTGCTATCATGTAACATGTATGTTCCTAAAAATCACTGTGTTATGCAATATTGTGCAATAATAACCACAGATCTTATGGAAGAAATGGAATTAGGACATATCACTCAAAAACTTTATTAAAGTTGCTAGTTTAGTTTTACATATGTTAGTTAAGAAATGCATAAATGATGCAATAAATATATCAGTTCACTGTGAAAAAGACTTGAAGTTTGCTTGTGGAAAGGTGTCAGAAGAGGAGTATAGATGAAAATCTGAAAAAAATCTGATGGAAATCTGATGGAAAGTTGTACAGCAGGCATGGGTGTGGCTCCTTACCCTCCATGAACCGAGGGAACTGGGAGATGTTTGAGGTGTGTGTGTGTGTGTCTTGTGTATTCCTATACAGCTTGGTTCAGCTGGGTGTGGTTTTTGCCTTCACCTAGTGCTTCTCAGGGATGGAATTGAGCATAAACAATACAGTATTTGTCTCCTAATATAATCAATCACTTTGAAAGTAATTTCCATATTTAAAGCAAGCATTTATAGCTGAACCTACTGTACTTATTTTTTGGTACTATTTCACTGTCAGCTTTTATTTTTGAGTGTTTTATATTTATATTTTTCTTTCTTGCCTGGTCTTTGTTTGCATTTTTATTAGCTCATTCATTCATTCATTCAACAGACACTTCCTGAACCTCTATTAAGAGGCAGAGACTGCAAGGTTCTAGGTTCTCCCAGGCTGGTGTTTCTTTTCATCATCATTAATTGTATCTTCCATCATTGACAAATTACCATCTTTTCTCCTTTTAATGACTAAACCACTCTTTTTGTTGTTGTTCATCTGTTTGAATTTGTCTAATATATGCTTTTTTACTTTAAGGACAGTCAATTTGGAGTAGTAGTTTAAAATGCTGGGCACTGGGGCCAGGCTGCCCGGGTTCAAATCCTGACAACTCCCATCCACTGTGTAACTTTGGGCAAGTTACTTAACCTCTCTGTGCCTCAGTTTCTTTGTCAAATGGAAATAATATTGGAACCTATTTTATTCAATTTTTATGAAGAGTGAATTAAAATAAATAATGTGCTTATTTTAGCACAATGCCTAGCACATTTTAAATCCCCGGTAACTTTTAGTGGCTCTTATTATTTGAACTTTTATTTGCCACTTTAAGTATTTCTCTTGGATACTATGTAATTTTTTAGTTGTGGAGTCACTTTGAGAGTCATCATCTTTTAATGGGAGAGTTTAACTATAAAATTTATTCTCTTTTTTCTTAAAAAAGCTTTTTCATTGACAATTGCGTTTTTTTTTTCCCCTGTGTTCAGATGCTTTTTGGATTTTTTTTTAAAACTTTTTTTTTTACTTTATTCATGAAATTCTAAATTTCACAAAGTTATTTGTTTAGGTATATTTGTATGTAACTTTTCATTAAGTTTTCCATCTATCAATTCAAACATTTCTTCAGTGTATGTTTTCTGTACTCACTAATTGACTACTGCTTTTGTCTCATTTGTTTTAGAATTCAGTTATCTGGTTATTGAGTCTCTAGTTTCTCTTTTTTATATGCATTTTTATTTTAATTTCTTTGTTATATTCACTACATTTTGGGAGACTTTTTTCTCAAGACCCCCACCCCCAATTCAGTACTCTCTCATACTGAGTCTATTTTTTTTTTTTTTTTTTGGCTTTGAATTATTGGTTTTAAATTTAGTTCTGTGTTCTTTGTATTGTTGTCCACAAGTCCAAGTATTTCCCCCTTGCTTCATCCTTAAGCAAGAACAACTGTTTTCATACCTGGAATTTGACCCAAAATAGAGTGTAACTTTCCTTGAATTCCTTGCTTTTCTAACCAAATGCTTTCAGTTTCCTTGCTGTGGGTGTTAGTTATTGCTGGCTGGCCAGCATCTACTCCACCTG